CACGTTAAACGGTACGGTGAGAACAAGTGACCCAAAAACAAAGAATTATATCAAGATGATCAAATCCGTGTGATTGAACCCAGCACACAATGTGCTTCTCTCTCATATATACAATTCTAGAAGTCTCCAGCGTGTCTACTCTAGCTGTGTGGTTCAACCATAGCAGTGCTTCCACCCTGCGATGTCCATATGCACAGTTATCACCTTCTTTATAAAGGATTTACCGCTGGGTTACAAACTCTGTCGGGAAACCACCCTTCGAAGATAGCCCCAATGAACGCTGCCTCTTTGTAGCTATGATGAGCTTTTGTGAGCTGGAAATCCTACTGAAAACTCTGACGGAAACATTATTATTCTAGTATTGTCTCTTTTAAATTTCAAAACACTGAATATGGTGGGGTTTATTAAATTTGAATTTCAGATATCACAAACTACTGCGGATTTCAGTTATACTAAGGTCAGTTTTCAGATGTGGATAGCCGCGCGCTTGATCATGCGACTGTTATAGCTTTTCACGAAAAAATACTCTCCGTGGACGAAATTACCCTGAAAAGTAAGTTTTGTAATCGCCAGAGTAAATCAAAAGGCTTACGCTATCCAGTCTGGCAAAAGATTAGGTTTAGTGAGGAGAGAAGCTGGAAACTTGAACGTCTTTGCCTAACTCCTACTTCATAGCTTTTTGCACAAATCAACTCTCAAGTGCTTACCTCTTTATGTTTTTAATCAATGGCGATAGCACTAGTACAGCCTGCTAATACCGAGTGAATCGACATGACATTTGTCTTTCAGGCTTCGGAGAGTCGAGACGCACTCACGGCGAGTTGGTGGAACTTGTCGACTAAACAAATGGGCTATGTCTTGCAAGTCTTGCAACAACGCTAGGTTCACAAAGAACTGTCGAGCACTGGAATTTTTTCAAAGCCTAGTCCTCATTCGCAAACACAGCCAACACGCTCTCTCACGCACGCTCCTTATTCTTCAACACCGTCATTTTAATTTAAATTATTTTATTTGCACTCGTCGAATTTGATGGGATTTTTGTAGAATAAAAAGCTTAGGGTTTTATTGCTTTAGTGCTAGCCATTTCTTCAGATTGTGATAAAAACCCTTGCACTGAGAAGTGCGGTAGGCCAATTTTATTTTGCTTTTGGATTTACGTGAATAACGTCTGTACGTATTTTAATTGATTATGCTAAGCTCTTTTCTTCACGATCTTCTTCTACACGGATGTCAGTTTTGTTCATTGAATCCGTCAATATCCTGAAAGTTCTACCGCGCTACTGGAACAGCTCTATGAATAGGAGAGATGAACAAGAATGCTCACTGTGAGCAATTTTCATGGCAATCACTGTATAATCAAGCCCCTTGCTCTATCTTTTTATATTAGACGACTAGCAAATCTGAGTTTTTGAGTCATTGGACGATCTGAACCACGAATTCGAATTTACTGTTAGAAATATTTGCTTGACTATTTCATAGAAGCGCTGCAGCGTTCAAACACAATTGTATGAAGAGTGCGCACTAAGTCCCCTAATATACATCGACTCTCTCCAGATTATAGCACATTATCCCACTATTTACAGGTACTTAAGAGTTTTCATGGATAACAGGACGCAGATGGTTTTCGACCTTCTTCTAACTAGCCCCTGAACCCATTGATGTTTCAAGTTGCAGACGAAGGATGGATAGAGGGCTTAGTGCATAGGTCCTTTCGAATAGATCACAAGGTCCAGCTCCTTTCCGTTACGACACCACAAAGCAATTATCTTGTTGTATCTACAAGCTCTGATTTAAAAATTGAATCAAAGAAAGCAAGGAGTGAATAAGTGCGTGGAAAAAAATGTCAGGAGCAGAACGGACGTCGATTTTTTTCCACGACCTCTTATTCAGACGAAAACGGAGAGAACGTTGGATAACTTCAATTCCTAACCACTAAATTCTAATGAAAGGCCATTCGTATGCACTATTACTTCGTAATTTACTGGAATTAATGTTAAACAGGAATGTTCAAAGACGCCATGCAATAACGCAGACGGTGCTGGTTCAACCTGCCTTGTAGCAACGAGCTTTCTCTTCCTCCGTGTTGATGAAATGGTAAAAGGTTCATATAGGAATAGGTTCCCCAAATGCATAAAGACTGTCTTCAAATATAAGCCTTTAGAACGCCCTAGCACGGTCATGGCTGGATTCCAGGAAGAGCGTGCCAGAGCAGAGTTTAACTATATTCAAAAAGAAGAGCAAAAACCCTCAAACAAGAGGCGAACCCAGACTCAAGTCTAAAGAGCTTCGTGTATGATGATCGCAAGAAAAGTGAATGAATAGAAAATGTGCTAGTGTTGTTGCATTATTTGGTGCAGGGTCATTTAAATAAATAAATAACAGCTCCTAAATTGCTATCGACTTCTTTAATGACGTATGAATGAAATGACAAAAGAACAAAAGACTTGAGTGACAAATGACCACAATTGTTGCGACGATTCACATTTAGAAATTATCACTCCTTTACTTAAAACTTTGGAAGAACATTCTTCATAAAATGCTGAATTTTCTGTGAATCAGTGCCTCATGTTTGAGCGGACACGAGGTTGCTAAGAACAAGGTTTACTCAGTGCAATGCTGGCTGACGTTTCGGCTGGTTTTTTCTTCTTCAGAGCTTGGAAAGGTCAAGGTAACCGCAACCTGGTTAGCCAAATACCTCCATAACTCCAACGAAAAATCTGTGATTTTTAACCTTCAATTGCATCACATATAAAAAACAGCTTTTTGACACAATCACTGCTTTCTTTGCGTCCCTCACTGAGTATTCCACGTGGAGACCAGCTACAAGAGTTCATATCGATGGGCAATGCTTGCCTTAATAATGTGAAAATATTAATTCAAGATATTGTGCAAAATCGCATATTATAAGATATCACTCATCACAGCGCTTCACTCTTGGATTCTTGAAATTTGTTCATAGTGCTTAGGGGGTTTTGCGAAACGATGTCTTAGATTCCTTTGCGAGGTTGGCAACTTCAACTTTGAAATCTTTTACATTGTCTCTATTTTCTATATGCATCTAGTGAAGTATCTAGAAGGTGATCGAAACGTCAGCTAGAATTGAACTGAAAAATCTTATTACTAGCAGCCTCGTGTCTGCGTATGATGAAAACACTGGCTCATTGAACAATGCCGGTGTCACTAGAAAATCGACCCTACGAAGGAAATGATCTCGTTTTCCTAGTGCATTCTCCTCGAAATTCCTGTAAATTGTTTCCTAACAGCTCGCTTATGTACTTGCTGATCAGCACCAACTGGCTGTGAAGTGCTACGTAACACAATAGCCCGTGCATTGTAGTGGCACGTCCTTGTCAGCGTGTAGAATTTGTCATGAACCACTTCTGTTTGCCTCTTCTTGCATTACCGTTCGCTCTTTGCTTTCTTTAGTTAAGATCTATTTTCATATATTCTTCATGCTATTTCATCAGGCTGTTGCAGACGCTGCTCTCTTATTTTCAGCGTAATTTCCTATTCTTCGTAGTTTACTTGCTTATTGATTACGTTTTCTTGTCATAGGCGATTTTTATGTGTGGAGGTCTAATAACATAGTTTTAAGGCACATTTTTGAGGACAAACAACTTGTAAAGACCCACTGTTAGCAAAAGCAGACGCTTACTAGCCCATCACGGTAATCCACATCACACATCGCTTGAACGCTGAATGTAACTTCAACACTCTTTTCAGGAACTTGACGGAGAGTTTTCCTAACAACTACATCCTGAAATCTATCTCAAGAAGATAACACCACAGCTGGACCCCACGTTTCTGCCTTACAAAGCACCACTTTCCTAGAGTGCTAGGTATGTGCTCTAGAACTGTCATTTAGCCGATTTCTACCTTCACTTTGAATTCATCTTTTGCTGTTCGCTCTTTCGCAGAAATATCCAGTAGTTTATGTGAAAACACTCTGTGTTTTTTGTATTATTAAAGTCAGATAGTTAAATTGGTTAGGTTAGTTGAGTTAAATAATAAAATAGTTAGGTAGTGGAAACCACAATGAAAAAATTTCGAGCATTGCAACGCATGCGAAACATGAAAGATGACGGAAGGATGATAGAAAGCAAGTATCTACTTTTCGCTGCCTCATGAAGGAGCGGTTCCAAAGCGCTTCTGCTTACTTTGAGAACTTGTTAAGCAGCACTGATTGCATTGCATTGAGCAGCTCTGTACATTCAAGGGTAGGTTGTCAGTCTCACAGAGTAAACAGGGGGGCTGCTAACCGCGTTCCACATACCTCCTTGTTACCTGATTACAGGCTTTTGACCGGAATGAAAATACAATCCGCATGAACGGGAGTACACTCACACGCTCACGCTTGAACACGTCCTCGTAAACACAGATGGTATGCGCCAAACCCCCGCAGCGGAGACAGGGAGTCCATCACCTGGATCCAGCTGCGTCTTAGAGAAGCATAAGGTCGCTTTTCGTTTACGATTAACACCTATCAATCATCTGGGCATTCACCACATTTTTCACTAATCACCAGCATGAAATTCCTCCATGAGGGAGATGTTCTATAGCTCACGAGCGATCATTTAGCAGAACCGGAATGCCCTTAATTTTTCTTGTTGTTCACATTTTTCGTTCGGATGCGAATGTATGACGAAGCAGTCGGGAGATACGGTTCATGGCAGTCCGATAGAAGCTGAATAACAAGTTCTTGTTTATGTTTGGAGGCTGTCAGTAATGGTAGTCTGAGGAGACGTAATGGTGTATCTGCCCTTTGTCTCGTTTCAAGGTTGTTTTTATCACGATTGTCTCTGTGGCTGAGACACAGTGCCTATTGTGTCGGCATTCTTTTATTGTAATACCTCTTCGGTCGCGCACTTCCCAACTTTTCCTTTTTCTACTATTCCTGCTTACCGACCCAATTGATAACCCTTTCCTCGTTTACTTCATCATGACTTCACTCATTTTTCTTCAAAGCTACTTCCAATTTTTGTTCGTGCCGTTTCACTACCATGTCTTGCTAATTCCCATTGACAGAGAGTTCTACACTTTATCAAAGAAGATTTTCAGCAATGCGTCTTGCTCTTGTATTACTAGTATCCTTCACTGTGCCCTCATTAACAGATGTCTTACCACAAATCCGAACCGTGCAGAGCACTTCTGTCCAGGGAAGACTTCTTTGTAATGGAAAACCTTATGAAAAAGCTCGTTTGAAACTCTACGAAGTTGATCCAAGCAAGTTTTAACCTCAAGGACTCAATCTGTATATTTTTCGGGTTACACTCTTAAATCTTAACGTTATTTAGTCGTACAACAATTAGGGATATACATATTAAGAAAATATCACAGTAACCGCTTCAACTAATGTTTTGGGAATGTAAAAAGCCCAGCAGTTCTCGATTCATAGTTGTTTTCAGTAGAGCAGCTAAGTAAGAAGTTGTTTCAGTCAAAGATACCCTGATGGCAGAAATGTTCTCGGACAAGAATGGCTATTTCAAGATAAATGGAAGCGATACCGAATGGACACGAATAGATCCGAAACTTAACATCTATCACAATTGCGAGGACGAGAATGTAGTAAGTCATATCTCTGACCAGGATTCAATGCACTAATTGAAGTGTCAATGGCTTAAAAACCCTCGCATTGCACTTTTTTCATTGAGTGTGAGCACACAACGTGTTTGTGGTTTTTTTGTGTTAAGAACTTCTAAGACGAGCGCATGTGGTGCAGTGGTTGAAAGCGCCTCGCAACCCACATATGAGATTGACTCCCGTGCCCATGGCCCGCCAAGCCTTCCATCGCTCCGGGGTCGGCATATTGGTACCAGACTCGTTTGGGAGGATCAGCACTGACTCGATACATCGGCAGACCACGACGAGTCACTCTAGAAGCCAGATAAGCATTCAGTCACCTCCAACGATGCCTACTGAAGTCGAATGCATCTCCCATCCCTCAAGGATTGAGCAACGCCGAGAGCTTTATCCTTTATTCTTTTAAGAGTTTCCAAGAGCATAAATTTTTCGTGAATCTTTTTTGGAATGCTTTTCTACTATAAATTAATGAAGTAAGTGTTTTAATATTCTCATCTTCACCTGCATCACCTGTAGACCCATTGATCGTCGAGCTACTCGAGCGGGCGCCAGTAAATCTTCCATCGTTCCCTGTCGCGTGCAAGAATAGCACAGTGGGTTCTGCTTGCACTAGGGATTCGTCGAGCATCATATCTTTCTTCAAGGCTTTTTGTGAAGAACTCTGACCATTGGGTCGGCGGCCTTTCTGTATTATGTTTGACATCCCGAGGAATCCAGTCATTAACGGCTCTTGTCCATCGGTTGTCATTCATACGTATTACGTGTGTCCGGTCCACATTATCTTCGACTGTTTGGCGTACAGAACGGCATCTTTGATTTTTGATCGTTGACGCAGATCAGAGCTTCGGACCCCATCCCTTACTTGTGTGGAACGTGATAGTCCTAGCATCGTCCTTTCGACTGCGCGTTCAATAACGCTGAGTGATCTTCCATCCTGCTCACGCAGCGACCAGGTTTCTGATGCACACGCCGCACGGAGTCGGGTGTTCTTTGTTCTCTTCACTACATTCGCGATGCTCTTGAAAGCTCCTCATGCCGCTCGTTTCCTTCTGCTAAGCTCTGGAGTTTCCCGACCTAGATAGATATAACTGGAGCGTTCGGAGATATTCGTTCCGTTGAGCGTGAATGGGACATGCGAAACCAATCCGTTCTTTATGAACATCGTTTTTGTGAGATTTGGTCGAAGACCAACCTTTCTGCAGGCTTTATCAAAGTCGTCAAGCATACGTTGCGCTTGGCTAATGTTTGGTGTTATAAGGACGATGTCATCAGCAAAGCGAAGATGTTGTAATTGCCGACCATCGATTTTCACTCCCATATTGTCCCATTCCAATGTTCGCATGACGTTCCGAAAGGTGACGATAAATAATTTTGGCGAGATGGTATCGCCTTATTAACTTCCCCTTCGACGTCAATGTTAATATCGTTGTAGAATGCTGATACCCTGGTTGTGAAATTTTTGTACAGTTCACGAATCAACGAAGAGTCTTTATGTACTGAGTAGGGACTCCTTGACTATCAAGGGCTTCCAAGACTGCTTCTATCTCAGCTGAATCAAAGGCCTTCCGTAAATCGATGAAAGTGAGACAGAGCGGTCTTTTGTACTCTCGAGATACTTCAATGAGCCGTGTTACGGTGTGGATGTGGTCCATCGCACTAAATCCCCTTCGAAACCCTGCTTGCTCACATGGCTGTCCTTCGTCTAGTGTTCTGTCAATCCTGTTTAGGATGACTCCAGTGAAAAGTTTGTAGACGACAGACAGTAAGCAGTGCGATAGTTGCCGATATCGTGCAGATCACACTTCTTGAACAATATCACGGTCTTGCTGATCTTCCACTGAGGAGGGACCTTGCATTCAGACAAGTAACGTGTGAAGAGCCAAGCCAGTATGTTTATGAATACTGGCGGAAGCTTCTTCAGGTGTTTTGATCTTATCCTGTACGGACCTGGTGCTATTCGATTTTTCACCGACGAAATGGTATGTCGGATTTCGGAAGGGAGAACCGATGGTACAACATATTCATCATCCTTAATTTCACATGACGGAAGGTGGACGTGGCTATCGAAGAGATCTAAATAGTATTCGTGAATGGTTTTCTCCATTGCCTTTCTGGACGCTGTAACTGTTCCGTCTAGGCGTCGGAGTGCAGTCATCTTGGTCTTGTAATTCGCGAAACTTCGGTGAGCTTTGCGAATGCTTTCCCTAGCCTCTGCAGTTTCGGCTATTACTGCTGCTCTTCTCTCTCTAAGATCTTTTATCGCCTCTCTGCATTGTTTTGCAAGTTCGGACATTTGTTCGCGGTTGCCTGCCGCTCGGGCGATGCCACGCTGGCGTATCAGCTCGAGTGTTTCTAGAGATAAACGTATCTTGGTGACTTTCAAACTCTCAGCTTTCATAGCGCTAACATGGAAATGTTGAATGAGCCAATCGTATTCTTCGTCAATGTTATCGACAACGGCATCTTCTCAACAACTGACTAATGAATTGAATAAATCCCAGTTTACGGTGGTTGTGGGACTTCGGTTTTTGAATTTAGCGGCTTTTTCTCTTTTCCGCGAAAGATAGAATCTTGCACGAAGGAAACGATGGTCTGATCCCGTGTAGAATTTTGGGACAACAACGACATCGGTTAGGCAAAACCTTCTATTTACTACGATGTGGTCTATTTCGTTATGGTACTCTCCACTGGGAGACTCCCACGTCCAGCGCTGAGGGTGGAGTTTCTGGAATTGCGAGTTACCATGGATAGTTTTGGTCGCCATTATAAACTCAGATAGCCGCTCACCCTGTTCGTTCCATCCTAATCCATAGATCCCAATGTTACGTTCTTCACACGTTCTTCTTGGTCAAACCTTGGCGTTTAAATCTCCAATGATAACCTTGAAGAATGTGTGGTCTTCTCTGTAGAACTTCTCTAAGTCCATATTAGAACGCTTGGACTTTCTCTTCGTCATAGTCCGATGTTGGCGCGTAAACGAAGAAGACTGTCAAAGCCGGTATTGATCCGCATCTTTTTAACTGTAAACGTCCGATTCGAGTTGTAAGTTGCTCGAATGATTCGATGTTCATGGACAAACTTGTGTTGACGAGAAAGCCGACGCCGCCGACTCCTCTACTGTCGCATGTTCCGAGGAACAGTTCTGCTCCGGTGTTATAGACGCGTTGAAAGGCTGGCGCCTTCTCGTCTCGGCCAGGCCGATGACATTGTACTTTATCCTTCTTGCTTGCATGAGCAAGTCTTCTATCGAAGAGTCGGATGCAAGTGTACGTGCATTGTAGGTACAGTTCTTCACCATAGTTCTTTGAAATCCAGGGAGCTTCCATTGACCCTCAGATTTTAGCAGCTTCTCCGTACTCGTCCTATCCAACACTGCGAAATTGGCGGCGCTCTCGGGGTCAAGGGAATGGGGCTCGTTTTTTTTTTACTGTGTTTAGCATTTTTGATACCCACATATAGCTTGCTGGGCTCTGAACGTGGGGCTAGGTATACTCGCGGGTAGCTTGCCAAGCTCTCCCAGAGTGGTCGTGGAGTTTATTTGTTGGAGGCGACTCCTAACCGCCTCCCATATACTTCCCAGTCACTTGATTGCAGGCTTTTGGCCGAATTGACTCGTAGAATGCAATCCGCATAAGCTAGAACACACCCACACGCACATGCATGAACACGCCTAGCAAGTACAGAAAGTACGTGCCAAATCAGTTCAGCAGAAACAGGGATTCCATCCCGTGGATCCACCTGCGTCTCAGGAAAGCAAAGGTTGCTTTTGGTCTGCGATTAACCCCCTATCCGCCACCTGGGGGCGTGCCACGTAGCCTCGCGACTGGCCGGCTCGAGATCCCTCATATGAGGGGGAACCGTGGATTTGGTGTGGTCCGGGGTACGGTGGCGTGCAAAGTAACACGCATAGATTTTCATATTAGCATAGAAAATAGAAACAAATCTAATGTTTTGCACAAAGAGCCATAGAAGTAAAGCCGATAATGCGCCCTTCCATAATATGCTAGTGTAATTTAGGAATGTTGGCGTAAGGTGGAGATAAGTATCCCCGACAGTTTCGTCAGCGATGGCAAAGATCCACTGAAGACGTTCGACATCGGCATTCTGAATCTGAACGCTAAATTGCCCGGTGAAACTCGGGATTGCCTCAACTAGCCGTCAATGAGCAACGGCATCATCTTTTTCTTAGATATCCTATATTCAACCAAAATGGTTTTTTGCGAAATATAGACGATGTCAATGCCATGGAGACCTATTTAATTGAAAAGCATGCAAATATTTGTCTATGACTGAATCTGTTCAGCCATCTGAAAATGCTCAGTTTTCTTAAGGCTAAAAAGATTCTTACATAAATAAGAACCCTCTCCGTGCACAGTTCTTCCACCAACTCCTTTTATTCCTCATTGAAATCATTATTGTTTTTATGTAAATGCTATGATTTTATTAATTTTTCGTCGAAGCACTTGTAACATGTGATGTGGATAAACAAATTTGTAATTGTTGCCAGGATCGACTTTCTATTAACCTCGGGATTGGAATATGAATGCGTCGTTGTTGATCATGCAATTACCGAAGAGTTCTTCGTCTTTTTGTAAGTGTTATTGAAGCGTTTGGCCTAGTAGATTGTAATCAGCATGCCCTTCCAGGCTCTGAAGAAGGCGATACTGCCGAAACGTCAGCTAGCGTTGTATTGTATTGTGTTTTCTTTATGGAAGTAAATGTATGCTGTTTAAAAACCTCGCGATTGTTAAACAAGAAAACGAAACAAATTTGTATTTAGAACTATCAGTGTCTCGTTAGATGTATAATAGTATGTGATTTCATTTTAAAAAAAACTCTGTGCTCACCTTTTCTTTCAATGGTAGCTGAGAAAGTGGGTTGGTGCAAACTGTAGCCTCTGGATAGGATGAAAAACAAATGGCAACATCCCTACTCTCCTTCGCCTGTGACTCTTTCTGGTGACTGATTCCGATTAGACGAAGAGGTTACGAAGGGCCGTATGGTGGCGGAACCAACGCGGTTGTACGCGAGCAGTGTAAAGGTACTCAGCACTTGGTAAAAGATGATTTGCAAGACGTATTGCTACGCCTATGGGTATCCAAAGCGCCGTAATTAGGAATGCTGTTCAGCTATACGCTGATTCAACCCTGTCCAAGCCTAGTTGTCTCCCACCCAGCCGAGACAATTGGTAGAGCAGTTTTTTGAAGTAAGAGCTCTCCCGTCCGTAAATGTTGACGACTAGCTGTGGTAAAGATCTGAAAACGTCTTAACATCACTTTTCCAGGCTTCAATGGAAAGTTTACTAGACCATCAGTTATGAAGGCTGCTGTGTCCTTAAACAACAACGGAATCTGCTTCAAATCCAAAAAGTTTTAAGGCTAACGAGGGGAAGAAAATGAATCGAACGTAGGCAGTTTTGGAACCCTCACAATATGTGGTTTTGGCTTATTTACTTGATATCTGACACTTGAACGGCCCGTCATCACTAGTTGTGTGGCCACCAGAATAATCACCATTTTTTTGAAATTTGCTGGTTAAACCACTGTGCTTTCCTGGAAACCCGAGGTCAGCCTGGCCAAAGTCTGCCTCAGGTCTTCACCACCACAGGCAGCCGGAGTCCTCGTGGATCAGAGGGAGATTGGCCACCATGCGACTTTGATACCAGGACGGTGGTGGATCTTGGTATTGCTTTACTCTTAGCTATGCTTCCTGATGAAAGCGCCGAACTCCTTCTCAGCTTGGGAGACCCTGCCATGGGTTGAATCCTTCGCTGTACATCGCAGCCCGACACCCAGGAACGCCTCCCAGACACGTTGAGGCCTTAAACCGTTAGGAGGTAGTTCCTTCTTAAAGTTGTTATTGCGATTTACTGAACACCCGACATGCACTTGAGGCATGGTCGTTGTATCGTCGTAATCAAGTCGTCACTTGCACGCTCTTCGCTGTGTTAGTGAAATTACACAACCGAGTTTGCCTTAAATATGCCAAAAAAAGAACAAGAGGACCCATAAACGAGGGTAGAGAGATGACAACACTGTCTATATCTCAATGCTGATTAGAAACTTGTAGGATCACCTCGATGGTTTGTTAACGCCTACGTAGTTGATTAAATTATGCAAATCAGCTTTACCTTGACATTACCTGCTACTGCTATGAGCTAGAATTACGTTGAGTGCTTGTCTGGTTCTCGAGGGATAAGATGTGCGTCGCAATTCTCCTTATATGTTTTCTTAAACAGTTGGACGAATTGGTCATAGCCGACTCCCTCTGTTTCTCTCTTGGGTTTTTTTCGTCTTTATCAAAGAATTACTTAAGCTGCCTCAACCACACGTAAAGTTGGAAGACCTTAGTGGATAACGGGTGTGCGGAAACGAATGGAATGTCAGAAGTGCTGGAATCCACATAGTAGACATGAAGACCGGTTAAATAAAGTAAAAACATATAAGTGATATTCGTGGCATATCGTACTTTTCTAAGCTAGTATGGATAAAACATTTTAAGACAGAGATCAGCATGACAGTGCTGATCTAAGATTAGTTGAAAAGTACTAGCAGTACATGTGAGTTATGCTGATGAGCTCATATCGATGTTAAGGATGGAATGTGTGACATTTATCCTTACTCTCAAGTCACTCTGCTTTTCCATATGCTTAACACCTAGGAGTGGTGACGAAGACCATCAGAATGGCGATTCTGTCCCCATTTTTCTAGACACTTGCAATCTAGATGTTAGTGATTTTGTGCAACTTCCACCTCTGAGTTGGAGACTGTCCAAGACCATGATTTTCGTAAAATCTTGAACCTCGATTTGTTAAGCAACAAACATTCGAATTTTAAATCATTCGTTGATACAAATCAAAACAGTAATCTACGGGAATGACCCGACTTGCAACAACGTTGTCTACAGTTCATGTGCATGTTACTGGGCAAACATTTGTCAGCATTCATAGACTGCAACTAAAACTACAGTTCGGCACCTTCCAACTAGAACTCTCGAAGAAAGAGTTCTGGTCAGAAGTTTTGAACTCCTCACCTTCGGCGATTCCGCTGAGAGATGAGTGATAGGCAGTGTCAGCTAACATTAATGAAATGAAAGAGGCTACAGCTGAATAAGGATCCGCTTCGCACTGGTTCCTAAATCACTAATAGAGATTAAAAAAAACCACTAAGAATATGGATGCCTACTTATTTCCGAGACACTTGGACAACTACTCCACGACTCATACGTGCCCTAGTACAATATCTTATTAGTTGCACAGACATTTCCTCCGCAGTGATGAGAAAGCTATATCAGGGCGTTCCTGATTTTTCACTGAAGTAAACCGTCGGTCATTGTAGTCAAAAGTGGACTCTTCACTTGACGATCGAGCTGAAACGGTTGCCGTATTACTGATATAATGGTTTACTCACAGCTCTAAAATGGGAACATCTAACCTTTTTCAAAATCGCAATTCGAAACCTAGAAATTTTTGCCTTTGCAGTGAGCTAGAAAAAGGCGGGCCATAAGAAGAGGGTTAGGAATTGTGAGACACTTTTTTTTGTATTTTTTTTTTGTAAAATTGTATGATCACTTACTTCAAATCCATATGGATTTCTCGATCGATTTTTCTGCGTTGAAATCTTTTGCTGGTATAATCAATCAATCCACAAGTACAATTTGTCTCGGCATTTGAATATTGCGATAAGTCCGCCTTAAAAGCGACCATTTGACTGTTGGAGAACAGAAAAAAGCACTTGAATACCTTCACTGCTGACACCTCTGTAGAACAACGAAAAACATAAATGTTAACTTCACTGGCTCAATAAAATAGTGTGTTTTCTTTAAAAGCTAACATTTAAAAGCTAAAGGTCTTGGATATTTTCATTTTGGCCAAGGCGAATAATTGAGAGTGGAGGCACTGCTCTCCACCATTCTTCCATGCTCTTATATTCTTTGGTACCATGCAAAAGAGATCATCTGAAATGCTTGTGCGGAAATTTTTGAAAATTTTTATGAACGCTGACGAAGAAGACTTTTTGGCGAGTCAATATTTCGTTCATATTGTTCATTTTAAAGGATGTCATAACATGATCTTTATTCGGCTGACTTTTCGATGTCTTTGTCTTCTACAGAGGCGATGATTCGAGCAGATGAGCCGCAATGGTTCGTTATCACGTAATGGGTCTCACAGCTCACTGTGCTACACTCAAGAAAATTCGACTCAGTACTGCATCGAAGACGGACAACGCGGGGACAAATGAACACCGAACTGTGAGTATTTGCAGCAAATATTTCAGCACCATTGTGGTTGTATCACACCGCTGCCGTGAAAATTGTAATCGGGAGTAAAATAGTATAATAATATAACAAATAAAATAATGTAATAGAGTAGCTAAAAAGTTAGCACTGTGATTTCGTCTACAGCCTGGGCTTAACTGGGTTCATTGCCAATTTGAGCTAGATCAGTCCCGTTGACGGGTGATTGCTGATGGCAGTGGTAGATTGAAAACTAGCTGAGAGGAAGGCGAAACCAAGGACCCGTTTGATGTGGCGGTGAACGCGCTACTCCCCGGAAAGGACAATAGCGCGTTCGTTCCCCACAGCATACGCCTGCGGTCGCTGGTTCGTTATCACGTAATGGGTCTCACAGCACACTGTGCCACACTCAAGAAAATTCGACTCAGTACGGCAACGAAGACGGACAACGCGGGGACAAATGAACTTCGAACTGTGGGTATCTGCAGCGAATACCTCAGAACCACTGTGGTTGTACCACACATAATATTCTGCCGTGAAATACCATAATAGGCACTAAATAAAAGGTCAACATTTTCATACAGTCATCTAACGATCGTAAACTAATGGTTTCTAAATGTAAGTCTTTTGTGTATTGCTATAATGGGTACTGAATGAACGGAATTCCTTGAAAAAACTGTGAATGGGTTCTAGTCCTGTAATGACGTCCTGGTTCTACTTGTCAAACTGCGTTTTGCGGCAACCCATTATTCATTAAGTCTCCCAAAATGAGGGGAAATTCAAGATTTCTATGCAGAGTCCAATCTTAGAGCAAACCTCTGTCACCCCTGTCAGGGTAGACTACGGTACCATAAACACGACGATTTTTTCGGCAATAAGCGTAGAAAAGGCATCATACCAGGAGCGTGGTGCTTTTCATGTCTCTTGAGCGAGCATTGCCCTATGAATAGCCCTAGTAGGATGAGGATGGCTGGCATTGGTTTATGTGCTCTCTAGAGCTACTTGATTTACCGGATTACAAATGAAGCATATGGAAAGTTATTATGCTCTGCAGTGATGATGAACATTTTTATAGAGACGAACATGTTGTGAACCATATAATAATTGAAGAATTTGTAAAATTTAACTCTGGAAGTCGGAGGAAAGACATAGAGAAGACACCAAATAGACCACTATGAAAAAAAGTACACCGAGGAAGCACTTTTATTCCACAGTATTATTTATAAGTAAAAGCATTCGTATCAGCTTATCCACTTCGGACATCGGTTCTTCGACTGAGTGAGCTCTCCTTCGTCATTTGCAATGATCGTATCATTAACTCTTCATGTGTTGTCTGCAATGGTAGATTTTTCGCAGAAGACAGAATTCTGACCAGTCCGTAACAACATAAAAACGAAAAAAGCAACGATCGTTTTCTAGAAAGTTGGTCGTTGTAAAATTACTGAGCCAGCACTTTAAAGCATGATTCAAAATTTAGCATAGTTTTTTCGCCACTTCTAAACCTAGTAGAATATTGGGTCTGGTGCTGGTTATTCATTCGATGGCAAGGAGCTTTTCACGAAGGATTCTTCTGGACCAACAAAGACGAAGCTTCCTGTGCACTTCAGGCAAGCAGAGTTCACTGGGAAGCCTACCGCCGCACGGAATTGTACTTATGTTATTCATCATTGCCTAGCGAATCAATACTTACGGTGAGGTCACAAATGAAAGGTGAAAGCTTCGAAAAAAAGAATTTACACAATATTTTCCCTTGTAATTGCTCACATCTAAAATTCTTGGTCACTATTCCGTGGATAACCGAGCATTTCATTGAATACTAAATGAATATGTAGAGAATAGGTAGAAGGGTAGAGAAAATTTTTAACTTTCGTTTGATTAATAGATATGCTCAAAGGCACAAGACCTAAACTTCTGCTGTAGCATACGTATTTAGATTTCACGTAGGAGTGGTCCGCTGCTAGCCATACGAATCTGCTACCAGTTGACGCTCTACTCAGGGAAATGGGCGGTTTGACAGACGACGGCCGAACGGGACAGTTTGTGCGCTTAGAATGCTTTTAATGGTGTGAAATACTACTTCGATGGCGAAAAGGGTGGAGAAGTGCTGGCAACGTGCAGACCTTTTCGTATGCTTTGTCGGTTTGCCTCCTATCTATAAAAGAAGCTAATTTAGGAAATTTCCTTTACCTCAGGAACGAAATCGAGCAAAAGGCGTTGTTTCCTGTTTGAAAAGCCGATCGTTTTAGCGAAAAGAAAGCGGAACATCGTAAATGACAGTGCATTCATCGGAACCTGAATTCTGATCGTGAGCAGAATTTCCGTACTTCGCTACTAATTAAAACACTTACTTTCAATCCTAAAGTGTATTTAATGTAGTTCAGAGACTGTTGAAGAAAGGCTTTCTCGAATGAAATCGCTACTTGCGACGAAAATCGAGGAGATCGCACTCTCTGCTCCAAAAACTAGAACCAAGCGGTGTTCCAGAAAATAAACATTTGCTAAATTTCTCTGAACTAATAGTTGCTATAAATATACAAACAGACTAAACGTGGTTCGCTATGGGGTAGTTAAGAAGTGAAATTTCAAATTCTTAATCGAGAATTACGTTTGAAATTTCTCGTCAAGCTCATGTATAACTACGCAAAGGCGCGTGTAGAGCAGTGCTTAAAAGAGCTCAGCACAACACAAGTGCTCCTTGGTTCGATCCCGCGCCATGGGCAAATTAAACCTCATATCCACCAAAGCCTGCTGAAGTGATATCAAAATTGCTTTCTTTACTACGTGAGCAGGCGACACTTGAATCAATCCCGGCACCAAGACATATCTGGTACGAATTTCCGACCTCAGAAGGATTACAGGCTTCATGGGCACGGTGAGGCACCGAACCAGCGCATGGGTAGGTTGAGCAGTCCGCGTAATGAACGGGATCACTATCACTGCGCTACAGTCTCCCGTCGAACTGATTTGGAGGAATAAAAACCCCGATATGATAAATCGTTAGAACCATATAAGTTATGACCAAAATATGCATTCAATCAAGTCTACCATACTTCACGAAGTTGAATGAATAGGACACCCTAGATGGATTAGCAAAAGCCAGACGCTTTACAACTATGTAGACAGGATAAAGCATAAAGCTGTCGGCGTTGACCAGTCTCTGAGGAATGTGACATGCATTCGAGTTCATTAAGCATCGTTTGCAGGTCTCTCAGCTAGTTCTATCGATCACGGCCATCAGCAATCACTAGTCAACTGTAGGACCTGCATGGTGTGGTGGTGAACGCGTTACTAACCGGAAAGGACAATAACGCGTTCGTTCCCCAACGTAGACACCTGCGATCGGGAATTTTGCAAATATCTCAGCATCATTATGGTTGTTTCACAAATAGTACCCTGCCATGAAAGCTAGTAAAAGGCAGTAAATAAAAAGCCAACATTATGTAGATGTAGACAAAATGAAGCCATGTTACTGTTTGCGCATTGTTAATCTGGAGATGACTACTTTTTGTTTCTACTTCTGTTCAGCAACTACTTTTTGTAGCCAAAAGGCGGAGTATTAAGCTTCATGAGGCTTCCTTTTCATAAACTTTTAGATAAAATGGGCTCACATAAAAATTGTTCCAAATCGAATTGAGGTCTTTAAAAAACCAGTCTTCCTAATCCGGCTTAAACTAGCAAAATTAAGAGCTACTAAAAATATCATAAACTCGTTAGGAAGCCGAGTACTGAAACAATGTTAAGCCCGTGAGTTCTAACACCGACATGCGATTCTAATCAAAAGCGATTGCGTCTTACATATCTGAATGGTATCACATTCGTTTCATCTACACAGTAGACGATCTGCGAGCTAACTCGATCCGGATCCTTTGCCAGCAGCACAAGACAGCGATCCACAATAGCCGCCAAATTGCCTGCGTAGATCTGAAAGAGAGTGAACATGCCACGTTCGTCAATGGTTTTAAACCAATGTACTCGCCCTTGCATCAACTTATGTCACTGGCGAATGTCCGTGTTTCCCAGTAGAAGTGAAGAATAAGCGCCAAGTGAAAAGGCGCTTATTCTTGTGATAAATTCTGTTTTTAACGTTCATGAGGGTGTCGTCACAGAAAACGATTAATTTTGTACTGCAACAGGGAAAAGCTCAAGTGTTACGCAAACCAACATAAGGATAAAGCGCTATACTGATAGAGCAAATAACCGCATACATTGAGTAATTTCAACATAGCAACAAACTCTGCTTTTCAATAGACCGCTACGATACTCCATTCTACGATACTCGGTTGTAGGATGGTGATGCGACTAGCAAACATCATCATCAAAAAAGTGCCAAAAATAAAAATTTTTGTTAGTTCAGCGTTTTATCTAAGAACCTTGGCTACTCACAAACTGATGTAACCCTCGACGATCGCCTTTCACATAAGGCACATGCCCTTCTTGAGCCATTTCCATTAACGTGATCCATGACGACGATCCCTGCTCGGCGTGTACATGAACGGGACGAAGAAACACTCCTTGAAGCGAAGGGCCTGAACGGGTTGGATCAACAATATATAGAGAAAAACGGTACGCGGATCCGGACCTCGAGCAACAGCATTCCTCGCATACATTTCAGCTCTTGTACGTGATTCACCGTACTCGCCAAGGATGTAATTTCTGGGATAATCACTGAAAAATAGACACATCATATTTTATTCTTAACATTAGATACTGTTTCCCAGCATACTAGCTATTACAGTACTTGAAGACGTATTCTCCGAGCCCATAGTTGTCCTCAATCGGTAAAGCCGAGTAAGCGTCTCCAACATGTACTAGATGCTTCACGCCAAGCCTTAGCATCGTATCCGCTAATGCTTCAGTAGCTGAAAGCGGAACGGTCATTTTTCAATAGGATCTCGCGAATTCTTTAAAGCTCGGCCATAATTATAAACAATTAGGGTTTTCACTTTCTATTTACTGTCTATTCTTTTTTCATGACAGGATATAATGTGAAATATAACCATAATGATGCCCAGATATTTGCAAAACTCTGAACCGCAGGTGTCTGCGGTGGGGATCGAACCTGCTGTTACTCCTTCAGGGCTAACGTGTTCATAACCATACCATGCAGGTCGAACGATTTGCCTTCCTAATTAAGTGTTTTTTCAACAAATCAACAAATGTGTAGACCTAATACGGTTCAAAACGTGAGATTTCTCTCTCATTAAATTGATCGTTTCTTTCCCACTGATATTAATAGTGTGGTTAAGAAATCTATGTTTTATAGTTCATGTTCTTCTTTGTTGTGATTCTATAATATTTGCGTACGAACTTTCTTCCAGTGGTTTTTTGAAGGACTTGATCCCTCTCTCAAAATCAACAATTCTGACATCGTTATTTTTGCCAAACTCTTTACAGAATGGACCGAAGTTTACAGGGTTTCTGGAACGGAACCGTTCCCATGCAGAAGTCCGTGATTCGAGTGCGAAAGCTCTCCAGCGATTATAGAAAGAAAAAGAAACCTAAAGGAACACTTAGGTCTCAACACGACTTACTCTTTAAAGCGACAGATACACTTTTAAACGAGAAAAAGCTTTATGACCTCTTCCGTTCTACGAGGTAACGAGGATTGAAAAATGTGCGCTGTGGGCGCAATATATGAAAAAACGCGTTAAGACGTCGAACACATACCGGAAAGATTGTCACGCCAAATATCGTCGCTGGTCTTCCGGTCGACGTACTTCCAAGGCAACGCGGCATGCGCACAATGGACGACGGAATTACAGCCGTTTAGCGCCCGTTCCAGCGCTCCTTCATCTACAAGGTCCAACACGAACGGTCGTACCCTCACGTCGTCCGCGTCTGAATTGGATTCTTAGTGGTAGCGAGTTCTTTTTTCGTTCAAAAAACTCATCAATGCAAAAAGTGTTTTGAATAAACATGTAAAAGTATCTAACCCTCTCAGAAAATGATGTGTGAATATGAGATGAAAAACAGGTGGAGATAGAAATCCTAACATCTTGACATTCTGAATGCTCTACAAAAGGACATACTTTTATCTTTAGCCTTCATCAGAATTTTCAACGATTCGGCTGTTCTCACAAAATTACGACCATTTAGTGCGAACTCCTTTACAGGTGTCCTATCCCAAATTCATACAACTTAGAAAACTACAGACTGCGAACTTTGTTGTAAAGGAAAACCTTGAAAAAAGGTCGTTTGAAGTTCTACAAAGTTGATTATAGTAATTTTTTGCTAAACATATTCAAACCGTAGTATTTTTTCCTCCGGTACTCTTCATGTTTTCAAAGAGTGTTTAGTTTTGTATATGATAAACAACAACAAAGAGAGTAAAAATATATTAAAGCAAATATTTTAAATGGTATTCTCAATATTTTGGAACTTAACCCTTGATCCATGGAGGATAAAGGATAAAGGGTTTGACGTTGATCAATCGCTGAATTATTTCACCAAGTATCGGATGTGATTGGCTTGATTGAATGCATGTCTACCTTATGCGACGAATTGAAGTGGCCTATCGGCACATCAGATCCGTTTTTTTATCCACCAAGGCAAGTTTGGTGTAAAGCCAGGAGCGATGGGACCGTAGTTTGACCGGGGTGTGCGATCGAAACATGGACCACGCGTGTACTAAAGAGCACTACTAATCGCTGCTATGAACGCCCCCCAAAAAGCAGTTTATGAGAAAAACTAACCCCATGGAGAATATTCTCCATTACTACTCAATATCTTGTCATATCACTAAGTGTTTCCTGTGCTTACTATGTATCGTAATTAATCAGACTTATTGCAATCTCCTGTATTACCAGACGCATCGCTGCCACAAAATGTCCTCAGTGGCTGCCCACCGTTTTCGTAATTTGTTCTACCCTTTCTCATATCGACCAAGGATAAAACCGTTTTACCCGTCAGCATCCTCCATTTGTATCACCTCTTGTTAATCGTTTCACTCACTCACTCGCTCACTCACTCACACACACACACACGCGCACACACACACACACACACACACTGTGCGCGTGCGTGTCTGTGTGTGTGTGTGTGTGTGTGTGTGTGCGTGTGTGTGTGATGGTCTACAGCCAAGTTTAGACTTAAAAGTGGCGTATGAACCGCACATGTAAACCGTGTATGGGATCAGTCATTGATTTGAGGAAGCATACCAGCAACTTGTCTCACTTCCTGCATCATATTTCGTACTTGAGGACGAATAATATCTATAGTTCGTTTCATATCATCTTAGCAGTACTTTAATGGCTACTAGTGACGCCAGAGCCGTGACGTGATGTTACGAACTCCGAAGTGAGGAAGGCGAAGTCGCCGAAACGTCAGCCATCGACGAGCAACATCAAAAACAACGACAACGACAACGAAGATCTGTACCAACCTCGCGTCAGCTTAAGAAGATCAGTTTATAAGATCACATAAATAAATATATCAACTATCTATGCCGAGGTTTATAGAAAGTCGGTCTTTCGAGTTATTTGAGAGCTAGTGTTAGAGCAAAACTTAGACGACCCGTGTGGGTAGAATCTATCTCATAACAACGAGTTGCTTTACTTTAAATCCAAAGAGTTTCATACTACTTAGTCGATAGTATGACAAAGAAGTGATGCAAATTTTACTGTTTTTGAAGTAGAATTCGTAAAAAGTTATTTGATTGAAGAAAACTTAATCAGCGACGCAGTCGCCGTATTGTTCAACAGCTTTCCGTATTCTTCTATGAACTGCATAACAGTCGTAGAGTCGTAGTTCTGGCAATGAAATTCTGATTTTTTCAAGCTTACTAAAAGGCAAAGTTGTAATCATCACAATCTGATCACTTTTTATTCACTGGCTATTCTTTTTTCATGGCAGGGTATGATGTGAAACATAACCATAACAATGCTGAGATATTTGCAAAATTCCGGACCACTGGTGTCTGCTATTAGGAGCAAAAGCGCTATTACCTTTGCCGGGACTTGCTGATAGCACTTATAGTTCACTAACTCGGCTGAGAGACGAATGAAACGAATGATTCAATTGGTGTAATAGTGAAAGCGTTAGCACTTGGAAAGGTTAACAGCGCGTTCGTTCCCCACTTCAGACACCTGCGGTCTGAAGTTTCTGCATGTCTCAGCATCATTATAGTTAAAGTTGTATCATACAAAATTGGATCTGAACAGATGACAAATAACTTTTTTTAGAGCTGTCAAGGATACGGGGGATTAGCGTTATTGTCATGCCGCGCATGGCCGTACTGGCCGTACCAAGCCGTCGTAATCTTTATGAACGGTTGACTGGTTAATGCCAGATGTTTATGCGATCTCCTGAGTTCTATTTCGATCGCTCCCAACAACCCAAAGGACTTCTTCGCTTTCTGTGGGAAAAGGTCGGAAGGAACAATGTAAATTTCCATGATCATGACTTCCATCGTGAAGACCCCTGATCAATGTGAAATTGTCCTCCGCATACACTCCGTAGACAACGGAAACCCAATTTTTTTGAGCCTACGATGCATTTGTTCTACTTTGAAGAAGACAGTACGGCTATTTAAAAGTTCCTCTTATTGTTTTCGGTTTCAAAAGTTTCGAAAGACACACAAAATACACCTAACCACGCCTTTATCTTATTGTAAAGTAAGGCCTGTTTACGCTTGAAATCAACAATAGATCGAGTTTCCGACACGACGTCGCAAAGCGGTAGAAACCAGACAGCGTTTCGCAGTAGCTCTATACAGTTCTCTTGAAGCCAGATAAAAACCACACTATAGTTATATTTTAACTTCACTGACTATATCCCCTGACTTCAATACGTCTTGCTGACTGAGATCCTCTCGAAAAATTACTGTTATCAATTTAAATAGTTGCTATGATTCTTCTTGTTGTAAAACGAGGCCAAACTCCTTATGAGAACTGGCTTATTTCAAAGGTAAAATGGGCCCGTGCGAAAATGTTCGTAACCGTATCTGATAAATGAAAATAGGGGGAAGGTGGAGCAGTAGTAGTGATGCCGTTCATCAAGAGCATGGTGCTTGTTCGACGCGGACCCGGACTCACTGTGTTTAGCATCCTTAGCTTCTTGGAACATTTATACTAGATTTGTCTGGGAATAATTCACTTCCTCCAGTGCAGATGAGAACGCTCTACTCCGGCTAGCTCAGGATTTCAAGGAGATTTAGTTCTACTAGCATTCGTGATGAAAGCAAAATCCTCAAAGAGCAGGCGACCCCATGTGCGAAAAATTTCGACGACTTTTGTGGGCGATAGATGCAAGGAAACGAATCTAAATCAAGAAGACAGCGCTACGAGCAATAGATGTGAGGATGGGTTGGATAATAAAGATAAAAATAGCAGGATATACGACATCTTTAGAAGACAAAGCAAAATCTTTAGCACATTCATAGGTAATCATCGTTCTCTAGAGCATAAAAGGTCGACTACATTCTGGCCGCTCAGGTGTTCATTGAACACAACACATATTGCCCGCTATCCCCTTTCTCAAAAAGATGTCATGTAAAATTCTCAGTGACAATAGCCTTTGAGTGCATTTGCTACAGAACTTGTTTAATCGCCGCGCGACCCATTTACATACATTTATGCAGTAGAAACACTTTGCTACCTCTTTCATTTGTAGTACTAGCTCCAGCTGATGTTATCTTTCTGTCGTCCTCACTGTCAACTGTCCATGCTACTTCATGAACAAACTCGTCCAAAAACATTTCTTCATAAATTATCAATTGTAAAATATGGCCTTTCTCGGACCATCCATGGTACAATATTTATAGTGAGGCTGCCGTTTGAATACAAAGACTGTAGCAAAGAAACTCTGCGTTGACGAAACAAGCCATCACAAATGAAGTGCATTGAAATCAATACACGAAAACTACGTGGATATTTGCACCATATTAATCGCTTTTTTTAATGACTTCTCAGACCAGGAGTCCTCATCGTCAAATATTCTGCTAGCCCTAAGTTGTTGAAACACTTATGTTTTGTCACGTTGTATTTAAGCGTGAAAGAACGAGCTATGTTTATTCTTTTCAAATAACCTACGCTCGTTCTCAAGACATTAATAATTCCCGTAACCTAAAGCCCATATCCATAGTGATCAGAAAGCTCTTTATCATTTTTTTCAACGTGACGAAAACTCGGTGAATTCAAAAAGTGGTCTGTTTTCGAACTTTCATCCATCTGCTCAAGGACCAAAAAAAAACCGAAGACAAAGTAAAATTTTAAGAACGAAACCAAAAGGGGATATGGTGGAAAAGGATGAAGTACTTTACCAGTGCGCGCTGACGGCTTACGATCGATTAGGCGGATCTCCTTGTATCGTCCACACTTCAGAAGACGATCAACGACGAAGCGACCGACCAGTCCGCTTGCTCCCGTAACAGCCACTACTTCCATCACAAAATACTAAATTTAAAATACGTCTTGACAAATTTCTTATATGCTCAAGTAACACACAACGCATGACATTGTCTCGTACGTTAATACTTAGGGTTCGACGCTGGCGCTTCGTAAACTGCTGGTGATTTTTCGATAACCGGAACAATGGAGGAGTTGAAAACGTGACTGGGTTATAGAACAATGTTGGTACTACCTACTTAAGAGTAAGTATGTTTCTTCAAACCAGTTACTTCGCTTTTGAAGTGGCTTAGAAATAACATTTCCGAAAGAAGTGAAAATAAAACTGAAATTTTAAAAATTGCAAACGAAATCCGGGCAACCGTAGACACCAAGCAGGCATTTGGGTACACTATCGTGCTCTAACTGACAGAAATCCACTGGTTCAGTTCCTTTCATCTTCGAAATACGAGCCATAACGAAGAAACGTGATAAAAATACGATTTCTGGGCTTCACAAAATCAGGACTACAGCTTGGTAGAATAATAGATCTTTCTGGCACTGATGAAGATCTGCTGACTTTAATGGTCTATATTTAAATTAGTAAGGTCGGTTTTGAGTTGACTCAACGTTGAGAGCGGCCATGTCTGAGTGGAAATCAGTTCATGTCGGACACTAAGTGTTAAGGGAAATCCTACGACTAACACAATAGAGGTTCTTTAGAGTTGGTGTTGGTTACTTATGTGCGATTCAGTTTCACAAATAGGTTCACGTGCACAAAACATAGAGGGCCACAAACTGTAGGATCTTCGTAGGACTGCTTTTCTTTTGATATAGGTAGACACTTGGAGAAATACTTACTAAAAGAGATTGTCGTGAAAAGCAATCGAACGAAAATGAGCGAAAATTTACAGGTATAGAATCGATAGAGATGAAAATAAGAAGTAATAACAGGATAGGAAATAGTGGCGATGATAAGGAATAAACGAACATAGGAAAAAAAAATCCAGTCCATCCAGTTATAATGTCACCTTTACAAACTTCAGCATAATCAGCTGGTTATTATTTGTTGCTTAGTTAATTCCTAACAACATTGTATTGGTGGCAAGGTGCCTAAGAACAGACCTCGTCAAGACTTTGTACGGGACAACAACAAACGGTGAACTAGGCAAAAAGAGAACATTTCCACGGTTCACGAGCAAAATCGCCGTCCTTGACGAACATTGAAAAAAAGTGTTTGCCAAAGTGCGCACGATGTTTTGAAGAGAATCTGGTCTGCATTGATGGACGAGGAACCGGAATCGAAACAGTGACACCGATGCCTTAGCATGTACTTCACGGTTCAACAGGTCCCAGTGAACTTAAGGTCCAGATGACGGATACGATCATATGGCACACATAATTGGTACTGAACAATCCTGTGATGCCAACGGAAGTACTGAGAAGTCGATATATGATAGAGTTCCCTGCTCTTTGATGGAGAATGCTATATGCCGTCGCCGACGAACGACTCCATCCGGAGGCCGAATGACTGACGGCGATGCTCGTCATGTGCTCAACACGTATGATACGCTAGTATTGCTTCATAACATGACTGTAGTTAGAATATAAGAAATCCATTCAGTTCACATTGAATGGTGTTCCATTTCATTGGATTCCACTCGACGCATCTAGAAATATCCATAAATAAAGGATAAAAACAAATGTTAAACCTCTCGGCGTTGATCAATCCCTGAAGGATGCATTCAACTTCATTAAGCATCGTTGGAGGTGATTGAATGCATATCTGGCCTTTACAATGACTCGCGGTGGCCTACAAGATGTATCGAGCCAATGCTGTTATCCTACCAGACAAGTCCGGCTCCAATTTGCTGGCCTCTGAGGGATGGGAAGCTTGGTGGGCCATGGGTGCGGCAATCGGTTCCACTTGTGTGACAGTGGCGTCTCCAACTAGTGAGCCACACGCGCCCTTCAGCAAGTGTATATCCACCGCAATATTCATAGAACAGCAAAATAACTACTGTCGACATCCGATTTGAATCACTGCCGCCATGAAGGAAGCCAAGGCACCCAAATTCTAATCACTGACATTTTAGCTTATCAATGCAGCAAGAAATTGACTACTTCTACCGAGGTTAAATCAAAATCAGTTTAAAAAAACGTCCATTAAGCTCAGTTAATCGGAGGCGTGTCACTGATACAGTTGTAAAAATGTATAAAAAACTACGAAAAACTATGTTCTGTTTGTCATCAGTGCTGATTTAGTCTGTTAGCGATTAAAGTTCTTTTCATCGAGAACACTGTAGAACTGAAGCCGACTAGCGTCGTATTTGTGCTCCAATAAACTTTACGTTGTAGAGAAATTGAAATTAACCAAATGTCCTCCTTCTGAGGAATACTGGCGTAAAATTCTCCGGAGTATTGAAATGTCCCCGAAAATCTTCGTGGCCGAGGTAAAACCAGGAATATTATGATTGTCATGACCGCTACTGATTTCGGTACCGAACCATCAACAAGCAGTAGATGGCTTATAAACAAAAATACAAAATTTGTGTACAATAAAGTAAATTTGGGTTACTTGTGGCGTTTTTTGTCAACATATTTTATTCTAACACAATCGGATAAATCAACAAATTGGCAGCGTCATTATCCATCTAAGATCATACATTTCAAAGAACTTCACAAGAATTGGCGTCAAAAGACAAAATCAAGGAAAGCTGAAAAGATATGTAATGTCTCAACCTCGTCCAACAGCATTGACGGGACAGTTTCGAATTAAAAATTTTAGATTTAATTTTTATTGAAGGCCATGAGTTATGAGTACAACGAAGCCGACGAAAACAATGCAGTAGTGATCCGGAATGCATCCTAGTCGAGAAAAATCACGGATGTGGACGTTGTGCGATAGAAATCTACACTACGAATACGCGTAAGTGAATGGAGATGGTGTGTGAGATTGGATTCGAGATGCACGGAGGGGGAAATGGGCGGAGTTAGGACGATTACAGCTCGAATCGAACAGCGAACACTCATTCTTCCGAGAGCATCCGTCTCGTCCTACTGACTGGTTCTCTCGCCTCTTCCACAAACATCGACACCTAATGAGTAATTATTCCGCTTAGAACACAATCCACAAGGTCATGATATCGTTGGGCTAATTTCTAACGAAAACACCCTAAAAACGTCAACACCGCTCGTTGGTATTCATGACTTTTGCACACGTCTGAGACAAGTCGCATAGTTAGTTACAATTCGAAGAGCTTTGTATGAATCCTTGTTAGCAATTACTGTGATTTCAACTATTCATGTTTAAGCAACCCAGTGAACGTAGAAAAAGATTGTGCGTCACTGAAAGTCGGTCTTGAGGAAGCTAAAAAAAGGACAAGGCTCTCGGCGTTGATCTATGCCCAAGAGATGCGTCATGCATACGACTTCATTACGCACCATTAGACGTCATTTGAATTCATATCTGGCCTATGCAATGACTGGTGGTGGCCCACCGATGTATCGAGTCGGCGCTCCTATCGTCTCAGACAAGTCTAGCACCAAATTCCCCACTCTAGAGGTTTGGAAAGCTTGCTAGGCTTGGAGTGCAATCCGATTTTGTGTACTGCAGGACGTCTCTAACCACTACGCTATAAACGCCACAGGAAAAAGCAGAAACCACTGCTGACCAGTGGGATACGATCAAGACATTAATGTACTTCACACACTAGCAGCCTTGCAGGTCCATCGACACCTATTCATAGCTCTTCAGCAGATGGATTTGAATTGAACTTGATTGAGAACATCACAAAACCTTATGTGGCCTCCCTCACTTTTTTTTTTCGAGACGTTACTTCCCTAGAAAATTTCATTCATACATAATGGAGCATAAAAGGAATGCCATTTCCTACACGAATGTAGTGGACAACCAACTGTCTTCTATGCACTCGTGATTTACCGTTCGGAGTCCCAGTTTTTGGAGTGTGTTGCTGTTTGCTGGGAGTCTAAAAACCAGCGGTAATGTTCCGCCGATCCTTGATAGGACAACTGAAGTTTCTCCACGATAGCAAAAATGCACGCTCCAAAACTCTTTCTCTCGTGACACTCGAATATGGGGCCCAAGACGCAGTATGCATCTCTACAGATTCTTAACAGTAATAAACCGATTATTTCTATGACCAATTCAGTTTCCATTAATTGAATATAACAGTATCAACATCGAATAATGGTTGTGAGCAACCATTATCTCCAAGAAAAGCCAGAAACAAGTTCTGCTTTTTAGGCCGTATGTTCAAAGTCCAAATCAACCAAATTTCTTTTAGCTGTCATCATAATATTAGTATGCCCTTGACAATGTGAAGAAAAATACTTGCAGACAATTTTATTCAATAGAATTTTATATACATACACAAACACCAGAGCGGCTCTCGCGTAAATAGCGAGGGTAAAATAAATAATGTTCATTTCTGAACTGATATAACGTTTCACATAAAGTTTCACCGAGAACTTCAATCCAATATTTCAACCTACCATACACGGATTCCTTAAGTGGACATACCCAACGAGAAATCCTGAAATTGATAACACTTAAAAAGCGAACGCAATGATCCGATAGAACTGTACGTGAACAAAAAACAGTGCTCTATCTTCCTTATACACAGCAGTGGGAATTTCTCATAAACACTTAAAGGTTCCCTAGAACAACCATGTAACTTTAGTTCAATTAAAAAAGTGATGGACTCGCGTTCGATAAAGTTATAGATACCTAACTTACGTTAAAAATTTCACACATGCCTAAAAATTAGTGAACTGTCGCTTTATTTCGAAAGTACCCTAAACCACTATGCGCTCCTTAAAGCTCAGTGAAACACCTGAGATTTGAGAAACAAAAAATTGCAACTAAATCATGTATAGTTTGCACATTGGGTTAACAGTAAAAAATAACTGGAACTATGCTTTCACAGTTCATGTGGCTGCGCTACGCTACCTATTCCTGTTGTTCTTCTTTACACTTCAGCTGTTCTATGTAGCAAATTTTACTCTTGTCCTTCACTACACAATGAACACTTGTCATC